TCTCCTTGTTTCTTTCTTTCTCTCCCTCCCTCTTTCCTTCCTTCTTTCCTCTTTGTTTCTTCTTTTCTTTCTTTCTTTCTTCTTTCTTTTTCTCTCTTTCTTTTTTGGCTTTTCCACCCTCCTTCCCTCCCTCCTTCCTTCCCTCTGTTTTTCTTTCCTTCCTTCTTTTGAGCTCTCTGATCTTTTTTTGTTTTCCTGAACATATTCCATCAGGCAATCCTTTTCCTGTTCATCTAATGGCAGATTTTACAGCGGTTTCCCCAAAGTTCCCTGAAATGCAAGGACGCGCGCCGCGCCATCACAGACCTTTGGCTCTGCCTAGAAAAAATAAAGTACTATAAGGATAATAAACAGCCCACAAGTGATGGAATACATTTTGCTTTAGTGAATGCCTCTTTGAGCACTTTAAGAAGATACCACTAAAACGTTGAATAACGACATTAAAAGAAGAAACTACTGCAGATAACGACACCTTCTTGGAAGTTTTCTGTTCAAATATATACCGTATATAATGGCTCAGAATAAACGCGGAAGCAGACATATGTTATATTTTATTATTAACTTTATTATTATAGAAACATAAGTGGATATCCTCTCTCTCTGTCTCTCTCTCTCTCTGTCTCTCTCTCTCTCTCTCTCTCTCTCTCTCTCTCTCTCTCTCTCTCATACACACACACACACACACCATCGCCCCACTTGCAATATAGTGAAATTTCCAAATCCTAGTGTCAACCTCAGGAATTAAGACTATGTCCTACAGTAATGATTCAAGTGAACCGCCAACGGTTCCCCAAATTAGTTCCGTGGGTTTTTTTGTTTTGCTTTGTTTTTTGACTTAAATATTTGAAAGGTCGCTGGTGTCTGTCACTGGAAGTCTTGGGAGGCTGAAAACCATGATGCACAATGCAGACCCCCGTGTGCAGGACACGCGCGAGCGAGCCCTGACGGTGAGCGTGCCTCCTTTCCTGGTTCTCCCCACGCAGGTGCCCAGGGACCACGCACCCCAGCAAGATGCCCCGGCGGGCGCCCTGCCGAGCCCTCTCCGTGGTGCTGATTCTGCTCTGGGCACACCCACGCACGGCTCTCGCCTGTCCCCATCCTTGTGCCTGCTACGTCCCCAGCGAGGTCCACTGCACCTTCCGCTCCTTGGCTGCTGTGCCAGCTGGGATTTCTCCACATGTGGAAAGAATCAATTTGGGGTTTGTACCACATTCTTCCTGAACGTGTTCGCCTTGTTTGCCTGCGTGTTTATTTGGGTCTGCCTGTGCCTGTAGGTGCATTCCACGTAGCTGCCAATGTCGCCTTTCTTTACGGGTGGCTCTGTTGAGCGTTGGGAGGTGCCCAGTGGGCAGGATGCAGGTGACGGAGTTTTCACGCTGCTACCTACAGTCTCTTGGGGCGATTATCTGAACGTCTCCGTCTGCTGTCATCACTGTCATCAAGTTTAACAAGGAAGGGTCACGAACAGTTTCAAGGGCCCAGGAATTTCCCTCGCCAACAGTTCTTGAATATCTCATAGCTAGGAATGCACACGACACGCATGTAAATATAGGACGATTCTCTAAATACACGTCAGAAACTATTCAAGGATAATAAAAAGAATAAGTGGGACATCTCTGACATTTTCTAAGTTATCTGGATGAACCACCGTGACTTTGAGGAAATAAAAGAGTCCTTTAAGATTCCACCTATTTAAAATAGCAAACCAGGGGTGCCAAAAACATGTATACAAGGGGCCGCTTTGGTCAGTGTTGCTCAAGCAGTCATTCGCCGTCATCAGAAGTGTCTAGACACTGATGGGAACCACTCTGAGCACCTCTTGTCATTGCAGACGTCACACGTGACTTGTGTTCATCTTTTGTTATCGGTTTATATTTCCACAATTTTAATACAGTTTTCCTTTCTTAAAATGTGTATACATATTTTTGGCACCCTCTGTAGTGTAAGAGATGGTTTAATGCAGCAGTCCGGATAGAACTTGTATATTTAAAAATTTCTTTTTATAGACCTAAAGGTTTTGTGTACCTACATGTTGTTAATGAGCTGCAAGTAGTCGTGTACAATTTTAATTATATATGACCATTTGGACTTCTTCAAGAAATATATCTAAGTGATTTTCTACCATCCAGAGAACAAGAAAAGTAGCTTAGGGTTTGATGATTATCTGCCATGGAGACAAGGTGGTCAAGCTTAAATCAATGAACAAAGACTTTACACCTTGGCATACAGAGTATTAAGATATTCTCACTTTGTTGAATGGATAGCGCAAGAGTAAGATGAGAGACGGGGAAGTTACGACAACAAGATAGAAACTTCTTTAGTCCAAGGCAACAGACCATTACATCATAGTCTCAATAAAACCTTAGGAACCGTTTATGACTTGACTGTCTGAAAATCCAGCCACAGTGATAATAGCTCCGTGGGGAAAACAATTTGGGTTTGCCAGCAGAGGGAATATTAATAGATAATCCGGTTTCCTTTTTACAATCTTACAATTTATTAGGACCCGTTTTTAGCATATCATCCCTCTTCACCACTTAATCCCCCAAGCCTCAGCCCTTTATGGGGCATAGAGGTGGGGGTTTTGCTAGACAGGCCTTAGTGGAACCCTCTAGAAAGTGTGACAATTCACCCGTTGCTTCTTGAGAGTCAAAGATGTCATGTTTGCCGTGGGGGTGGGGAAGATACTTCACGCATCGACTGTGCGATGGCTTTAGACTTGCAACAGCCCGAGACACCCTTTCTTGTCAAGCTGTTTGCATCTCATGGACCGTTTCTGGGCTGTCCCACTCATCTTTACATGGAAGGATTTTGTGAGTGTAGAAGGTAACTAATCTCTCAGTTAGAACATCGTTTCTGGTGACTTCATTTTGAGCAATTCTTGGTCAAGACAAGAATTACACGCCCTAAAAGCTTTGCCATGAGAAGGAAAGCAAGGTATCAAATACTTCCTCTTCCTAGCGATGCTAGCGATAGCATGAGATGCGTTTGTGCAATGTTAAAGATAAAAGAAAAAAAATAACTGACAAATAGCTTCACTGGCCATAGATGGACTATATTACTTCCATCTGGTTTATTTTGCAACGTGAATCAACAGGCCACATTTCTACGTCACGCTTATAATCCCGCAGTGCTGTTTTAGAAAACCAGTCTCAAAGTAGATAAGAAGGCTGCAGGGGAAAAAGAAAGAAACGTGAGGTTTGATACAGATAGAAATCGGGGTCTGATTTGCCTTTCGGCAGCCTGGGAAGAGTTAAAACCCGGAAGGAATCAGGGGTTCCTGGCCGAGCACTTATGCAACTTTTCATTCCCACACAGATGTTTTTAGGGTTCCCAGTCCGCATGGAAAGACACGTCTCCGGCTTCCTGTTTGGACAGCCCCAAAGCTTTCCCGAAAAAAACTCCTTTCCAAGTATTTCTGAGCCAACAAAATAAAACCATCCACTTAGTGTCCGATTCATAGGCCTTTAAATCCGTTTGCTGCTTATTTCAAACACTAACATTGATGCCATATTTCTGGAATTTCCAAAATGCCCATACTTTTTCTTTTTTCTTTTTTTTAGTTCAAGTGTATTGGGGTGACAACAGTTAGTAAAGTTACATAGGTTTCAGGTGTTCCATTCTGTAATACGTCATCTATATGTCACACTGTGTGTTCACCACCCAGTCAGTTCTCCTTCCATCACCATATATCTGACCCCCTTTACCCTCATCTAGCACCCCCTTCCCCCCTTATCCTCTGGTCACCCCTAAACTATTGTCTGTGTCTATGAGATTTTGTTCCTTTGTTTGTCTTGTTTCTTTGTTGCTTTCAGTGTTATTTGCTTTGTGATACTAACCAGCGTCAGTGAAGCAGTTTTGCATATGTTTCTGATATAAAAGGAAACATTTCACTTACCTGGTTACGTCATCAGCTACTGTCAATCAACAGGTGAAGGAGACCCTTTGAAGAGGTGGGTCGGTTGGAGAGGTGGGCTCCCCCCGGGGTCCTTCCAAATCCCCCATCAGCTTCTCCCCCCCTGGTGCCACGTCAACTTCCCATCTCTCTGCTCGTTCCTTTTCTTCACCTCCCCACCTTGGCACCCACCGCGCAGCTGGATATCAAATTGGAAGGGAGAACTTCTGGCGGCTACGACAGGAAACGCTGATGAGCCGAGCACAGCCGTGGAAGATCGTGTGCCAAGAAACATCACACTCTTCCTGACCCGTCTGAGCGGTGCAGCCTTTGACCCCTTCTTCCCGTCGCTAAGCCCGCCCGGTCCTTATGGACTCTCTACTGTTCTTGACCTTTCATTTCCTCCTAGGTGACCTTTACTCCATTGGTCAGTTGGCCAGTTCTCCTGAATGTGCACATTTTGGGTCTCCGTCTCGGCCTAGAGCGTCACCTTGGAGCCTCACAAACATCTTTGGCGAATGTCACCAAATTGTCCCCCCTCACGCCTGTCTTTCTCAGCCTCGCCCATCTTGGCAAATGGCACCACCCGCCTGTTTGCTCGCATCTAGGCAGAAGCTATTCCTCCAATTTTTTTTCTTCTTTTGTAATTCCATCACTTGGCAAGGCCTGTTGGTTCGTCTTCTAAGCACATCTGGAAAGTTTCCGTGGACCTTTATCACCACTGTCCCCGCCTGGGCCGTGGACATCAGCATCCGTCCCTCCCCAGTGTTCACCTGGTCTCATGTTTCTGTTCTCGTCCGTCCCACACCCGTTCTCCCCAGAGACACCAGCATTGCTGTTTTAACCTGTAACTCTGCTCACATCACCCGCTTCCTGAAAACCCTCCAGTGGCTCCCCATTGAACTTGGAACAAGGTCCTAGATTACCTGGTCCCTGCCAACCCCACCTACCTCACCTGATACCATAACCGTCCTTACTGTTTCCAGACAAACCTCGGGCTCCAAAAATGGGGGCGGGCGGAAGGTTATATGTTGATATCCATTCCTTTTGTGGGTTCACCATCCCAGACGGATTTCTTTGTAGAATCCTAAGCAATGACAAACAAATGAGGCACACACCGTGTTATAGTGTGTGTCAACTGTCATTGGAAAATACACTAAAAAAGTAATCTTAAAAAATATTTTTTAAAAGGGCTTTATAGTGATGAAGCCCCAAGTGAAAATTGCACCTGGCTGGTATCTCCTGCGTGAAGCTATGAGCACTTTGCCTGAGTTCCCTGCACACCTGTTTCCTTTCATTTAGGTGATAAGGAGAAGTAGTAGATAATATCAGACTAGGTGTGTTATATTTAAGCACTCATGCGTCCGATACGTGCCCTGTGGATTCTCCATTCATTTTCCTGTTGGTCCTCCAGGGGTTAACTTGGGAGGCTCCTTGTGCTATTACAAGTCAATCTTATTATTGACTGGAGGGGGGGTTCCAATCAAGGGAGCATCTGTACCCGTGTTGACGCAGAAACAAAACCCCACACACACCAGGATGTTTCCAGATAACATACATAACCTATCAGAAGTGACCACTTGTCTTTGTAAAACAAGGGTGTCCGTATTGGGCCGCCAGCGTTTTAATCGGGTCCGTTAGCTCGGAGCCTTCTCCGTCCCGTCTTATAGGCACAGCTACTTCCTTCCAAAGCTGCCTGCGTGTTTCCCACCTCGGGGGCCACGTGTCGTTGGTTAGCATTGCTGTTTCACAGCGGAGTTGGCAGTGAGGGGCCATTTCGACTGCTTTCTTTAAGAGTCCACGCCTCCTTGTACCGCCACTGACTATCCCACATTGGACTTTGCAGCAAGTTTGCCTTCATGAAACGATGGGAGACACGAAGGTGTCAGGGTCTTTATGACCCCAGATATAGACAAGGACACAAAGAGAGGGCTGTGCTTTGGAGAGAGCACCAGCATGGACCTGCGAATCTGTCTCTCTGCTAAGTTCCTCCTTGGCAGGCTGCGGAATCTTTGCCATATGGGATTTACGTGTTCACTGTTTCTTATGCCTGTTGTTCATTCATTCTTTCATCATTCATCCATCCATCCATCTATCCATCCTCATTATCCATCCATCCATCCATCCATCCATCCCCCATTCATTCATTTATTCATTCATCATTCATCTAGCCATCCATCCATCTGTTATTTATGCATTTCTGTATGTCTGTATGTCTGCGTGTGTGTATTTTAGGTTCAATAGCATACAGGCTCTGTCGGAAACCTCCTTTGCGGGACTGACCAACCTGGAGCTTCTCATGGTTCACGGCAACAACATCCCCAGCATCCCTGACGGGGCATTGAAGGACCTCAGCTCCCTGCAGGTAAAGCCAGGCATGTCCCAGCGTCCCCAGCCCCAGCCTCTAGAGCCCATCCTGCCTGGTGGGAGGAAATTCTGTAACGCTCTCTCGTGATACGTAGTGTGGCCATCCACCCCCCACCGCCCCACCCCATGCTCAGCAGGCTTCGCACTGTCACTTTCCTGCCCTCTGTCCTATTTCTGTTCCTGGTTGTGGCTTGCTAAGTGATGAACAGGGTGTTTCCACCCACAGCCCCCCATCTTCCCCGCAACTTCCTGTCTTCACAGGTGTTCAAATTCAGCTACAATAAGCTGCGCGTGATCACAGGACAGACCCTGCAGGGGCTCTGGAGCTTAATGAGGCTGCACATGGACCACAACAAAATCGAGTTTATCCACCCACAAGCGTTCAAGGGCCTGATGTCCCTGAGGCTCCTGCACTTAGAGGGGAACCTACTCCACCAGGTGCACGCCGGGACCTTCTCCACGTTCACCTTTCTGGACTACTTCAGGCTGTCCAACATCAGGCACGTCTACTTAGCAGAGAACAAGATGCGCGCTCTTCCCGCGGGCGTGCTCCAGAGCATGCCGCTGCTGGAAAACCTGTACCTGCAGGGGAACCCGTGGTCCTGTGACTGCGAGATGGCGTGGTTCCTGCAGTGGGACGCGAAATCCAAAGGTGAGAAGGGAAACGCGTCGACGTGTGTCCTCGTTGGTCACCTTTCTGGAAAAGCCAACTTCTCCAACCTTCTCCCGTGGCTCCATCTCGTATCGGGTGAAATCGCGTCACCAAATCAGGTGGGCGGGACCCTTACCTGTCAACGGTTACAGCTGAAATGTTCAGACAGCCTCATTCCGTACGTCAAATGCATTGTTATCCTTTAGTAGAATGTCACTAAATTCTACTAAATTCTACAGGGAATCCCGGTCCCCTGATGGGTTTGTACTCAATTAACGGCAGCTGTCACAGCATGGATATCTAGAATGGCTGCAGCTGGATGTGGGGCTGTCTGTGAGCCCTGTGAGGAAATACACAGGGGTGCTTGGAAAAAAGAAGGCTTGGGGTGGCTCTGGGATTGTGAGGTTATTCTTTTATAGAAGGGGAGAGCGATGTCCTGTACGGACCCAAACAACCACCCCCACAAGGAAAGCAGCAATGAGTAGAAGTTCTAAGAAAGTAGGTGCTGATTCAAAATGAGGAAGTGGTGTTTTTTTGTTTTGTTGTGGGTTTTTTTTCCGTTTTTCTTTCTTTACACCCTTCCCCAAGGCCTGACATGGAACCCATCCTCCGATGCCATTGGGTTTACCGTGTCCTGCATCCCCTGCCCATCTCCATCTTCACAGCCACCAGCCTGGGTCCTTCCTTGTCTGTCGGGGAGCACAGTGAGGCATTGTCCGCAGGTCTGCCTGCAGCCTTGCTCACCCCCTTTCAATCATCCTTCCACAGAGCCGCTGTCAGAACACATATTCAGAGTTACCATCTGGCCACGCCACACCCCTGGGTGAGCCCTGCCGTCATCTCCCGTTGCTCTTAGGATACAAAGCACACTCCTTACCAAGGGTTCCTACACGACGCTTCCTCCTATTTTCCTGCTCCTGCAATGTGCCGACCCCACAGCTTCCCTGATCCATCCAGTTCCAGCTGCACTGCCCCGTCCAAACTTATCTCCACCCGAGTGCCACCCGGCTCGGTCACCCTCCCGCTGAGAACACTTTTCCACTAGACGTTCAAGAGGCTGGCTTCCTCTCAGCACCTAGATCTTGGCTAAAAGGTCACCTGCTCTGAGAGGTGTCACTGTCCTCGGTTTCCGTTTCCACAAGCCCCTCCGCCCACGCCCATCAGGGAACTTCTAGCACACCCACCTGACATCATAATTCGATGTGAGGGTTTCCAGTTGCCAGACGGCTTTCTTCCAAGGACTGAGTGAGGAACCCAGGTGCTTCCCTCTGTGGCTCTGCCTTAAGTGGGCCCCAGATGTGTTTAATCAGGCGATGGAAGGGGAAAGACAGACAGATACCTGCTTCTTCCTCATTTCAACTAGAAAAGGCACATGTCACCTGCAGTCATACGTCACTGATGGGAACTAGTCCCCAAACGTGGGGTGACAGGGAGGGGGCTGGAAATCCGGTGGCTCATTTCCCAGCAGCAACACTGCTCTACCGAAGTGGAATGATGAAGTTTTCTGGGCAGAGATCCTTCTCAGCCTTACCGGACATACATGTGTGTGCCGGTGCATGCGTGTACGTCTGTTGTCTGTGTACACGTGCGTGTGTGCGTGTGTGTGTGTGTGCGCGTGTCTGTGTGTGTGTCTGTGTGTGTGTGTTGGAGGAAGTATGTAAAACTATCATATTTGCATTTTCAGGTGTTTACTCTGAAAGTCACATACAAAACGGTGTTCAGGGAGACAAAAGTAAATAGAGTGTGAAGACTTATAATATGCCACGTCACAGATGGCGATGGTGTGTGTTGAGCATTCCCAGTGGGAGTGGAAAGAAGTGGACTGAAGCCCAGAGAGGGGACCGTGCAAAAACATTCCTCGCCTTCTAGATTCCCCATGGGGAGAGACTGTGGAATCGCGTCCTGATAGAAAGCGAGGGCACGAGACGTGTCGGTTTGGAGCAGGGAGAAAACATCATTTGGTTCTGTCGTTGAAGGAGCGTTTGTAACATCTAAATAGACATGTCAAGTCGGGAATTAGGTGTGGAGCCCGTACGGATGTGTTTGCAGTGGGGAAACACATGTGGAAGTCATCACTGCCTAATGCATGGTAATGGAAACCATACATGGGGGCGACACCGTCCATGATGGGGTAGAACAACAAGGAAAAGGGCTCAGGCCACGTCAAGGGACGTTCTATCCCTAATGCATTGGGCAGAGAAAGAGAGGACAGGAAGAGACGGACCCGTGGCCAGAGGACAAGGAGGGAATTCTGGAGGATTCCACGTCTAGAATGTGAATCCAAAACGTAAACACTGCCTGAAACAAAACAATTATAGAAAGAGGGGGAAATTTATTAAAAGTAGACGTGATGCGATTTATGCCAAAAGTTGGTCCTTTGTCCTGGCAAGACCTCCATGAATTATTTTACATCGATTGTCTTGGATCGCCACAGAAGGCCACTTGTGTGATGTGTGTGAACAGAACTTTTAACTGAACAAATGTTTTCAGTGTGCTCATTATTCATTGTCAGGCGGTTATAAAACCCCGGCGAGCTGTCACACACTGCGCTCCATTGAGCTAAGGTCAGAAGTGACGTCAGAGAGGCCAGGCCATGAATCACTATGGAAACGCGCCCCCCAGGCGGTAACTGTGCAAACCAAGCCTTCACCCTCTGGCCACGTGCCAGGCGTGCTGTTCCGTGGGTCACTAACATGTAGCGTGTTTGTCTGCTTCTCTGTTTTAGGGATTCTGAAGTGTAAGAAGGACAAAGCTTATGAAGGTGGTCAGTTATGTGCCATGTGTTCCAGCCCCAAGAAGCTGCACAAGCAAGAGATTCACAAGCTGAAACACATCCCTTGTCTGAAGCCCTCCATCGAGTCCCCCCTGAGACACAACAGCAGCGGCAGCGGCGAGGATGACGAGGAAACAGAGGACGACACTGACGGCCAGCTCTCCCTGGAGAGGTTCCAACTCCCCCCCTGGAATATTTCTCTGAACATGACCGACGAGCACGGGAACGTCGTGAGCTTGGCCTGTGACATCAAGAAGCCGACGGAGGTGCACAAAATTCACTTGAACCAAACGGACTCGCAGGAGCTTGAGATCAACGCCACGGTGGCCTTGGACTTTGAGTGCGCGATGACTCGGGAGAACTATGAGAAACTGTGGAAGCTGATTGCATATTACAGCGAAGTCCCCGTGCGGCTGCACCGAGAAGCCGCGCTCAGCCAAGACTCCGGCGTCGCCTACCACTATCGGCAAGACGCCGCCGACGACACTCTCTACTACACGGGGGTCAGGGCCCACATTCAGGCGGAGCCAGAATGGGTCATGCAGCCATCCATAGACCTCCAGCTGAACCGACGTCAGAGCACGGCCAAAAAGGTGCTGCTGTCCTACTATTCTCAGCATTCTCTGACCATGTCCGGCAAAGACGCAGAGCAGTCTCGGAGCAGGAGCTGGGTCATGATTGAGCCAAGTGGAGCGGTGCAGAGGGCTCAGACGGTCCTGGAAGGGGCTCCTTGCCAGCTGAGCTGTAATGTGAAGGCTTCGGAGAGTCCATCCATCTTCTGGGTGCTTCCAGATGGCTCTGTCCTGAAGGCACCCATGGAGGACAAGAATGGCAAGGTGTCCATCCTCACCAGTGGCTGGCTGAAGATCAAATCGACGGAGCAGTCGGACTCTGGTTTGTACCAGTGCATTGCTCAGGTAAGGGATGAGATGGACCGAATGGTGTACAGGGTCCTCGTGCAGACGCCTGCCACTCAGGCCCCTGACGGACACACAGTGAAGATTCAGAAGAACCCAGGGGAGCCGGTGACGTTGCCTTGCCACGCACTGGCGGTACCTGAAGCCCAGCTCAGCTGGATTCTTCCAAACAAAAGGATCCTTAACGACTTGACTAACACATCACACGCATACATGCTGGCCGATGGGACTCTCTCCATCCCCAAGGTCCAAGTCAGCGACAGTGGCTATTACAAATGTGTGGCCGTCAATCAGCAAGGGGCAGACGACTTCACCGTGGGGGTCACAGTGAGTAAGAAAGGGTCTGGCAGGTCGTCCAAAAGAGGCCGACGCCCCGGCGGGAAGACTCCTTCCAGGCTGAGAGGAGATATTGTGGAGGACGAAGGGGGCTCAGGCGTGGAAGATGAAGATAACGCTTCAAGGAGAATTCTCCACCCAAAGGACCACGAGATGTTCATCCAGACAAAGGACGATGCCGTCCCCGGGGGTAAGAAAGGGAGGAGAAAACCGAAGCCTTGGAAGAATTCTGGAAAAGAGCCAGAGACCACCATCGCGGAAGGTCGCAGGGTGTTCGAGTCCCGACGGAAAATCAACATGGCCAGCAAGCAGATCAATCCGGAGCACTGGGCAGACATTTTAGCTCGCGTACGCGGGAAAAACCTCCCTAAGGGAACAGAGGTCCCCGGGGTCACAGAAAGCACCACGC